ATCATAACGCATGGCAAGGGAGGCAACTTTTGTGTAACCAATGGATTTGAATTCAAAATCTAGTTTTGAGACTTATTAACCAAGTGACTGTGGGTCAGGCAAATTACCTTAGTGGAGCCTCAGTTTCTTCACCTGTAAAATGGGCTGACAATAATATGGCTGCCTCATTGGTTTGAGGTAAAGATTCATGAAAGCTGAGTAAGTGACAATACTCTGAACAGGGTTAGCCACACAGCGTTTCCAAGAACATTTTGTTCCTCTGAACGTGAGATTCAGGGCCATTGCTCAAAGTGGCCCAACGAGGGGTCCTTGGGTTATGGCATAGGGAGTGGCCATTTTGGTGATCAGGGAAGGAGGCCTCCCTCTTGCAAGCGGGTAGGTTTCTAGGTTTTGTCTGCAAAGCTACCTGCTCCTAAAAAGCTATAAATGTCCCCAGATAGTCTGCATTGGGTCCAGTGGGTTGGGCTGAAACTTTCTTGAGCAGGTAGAAAGGAAAGAAGTTTTTATAACTCCAGGGTGTTCACAAGGCTAACCAGGTTCTCGGTACTGTGGAACTCTTTCTCCCTGCCGCCACCTGTGATGGCCTCCTGGCCTATCCCTTATAATTCGGTCTTTACACACTCCACCTTGTGTGTATGAATGTGTGGGGTCTCTCTGAACTCTTGAGCAAAGCAAGGAATAAGTCCTTCAGATGAGGGTTGTGGGGCCTTGGGCAGGTCACTTAACCTGTGTGATTAGTCTTTACCTGTAAAATGAGCAGGTTGGCTTTGATGATTTAAAAGCAAATAATGCGTGTGGAATACCTGCTGTGTGCTGGAGCCTGTGCTTGGTACTGGGGGTACAGTGGAATAAGAAAAATAGCCTGCCCCTGAGGGGCTGAAGTTCTGATGGGACACACACAGGGAGGTAAGTGGAGAGGTGGGGCATGCCATCATCAATGCCCCATCATTTCCTGATGTTCGTGGTTCATGAGCACAAGGTACTCCTGGCAGAGCAGGGGGAACTCGCAGGTGACAGAGCTATTGCCTGTCCACCTGCAGTAGGAGGTGATGCCAGTACAGGTCAGTGACTTGTGTGGCTCTTCAGATCAGAGCAGGGCCTGCTTCAAGTATTCACCGAATAATCTAGTGGGCAGAAGCATGGACTCCAGAGCCAGGCTGTTGGGGTTCAAAACTCAGCTCTCTGCAATGTACTAGCTATGTGCCCTTGGGTAAAGATATCTAACTTTCTTATCTATAAAATGTGTGTACTATTTGCATCTTCCTCACAGGATAGTTAAGAGAATTGAGATGAGGGGGCGCCTGGGTGGCTCAGATGGTTAAGCGTCTGCCTTCGGCTCAGGTCATGATCCCAGGGTCCTGGGATCGTGTCTCACATCGGGCTCCCTGCTCCTTGGGAGCCTGCTTCTCTCTCTCTCTCTCTCTCTCCCTCTTTCTCTCTCCTCCTCTGTCTCTCATGAATAAATAAATAAAATCTTTAAAAAAAAAGAGAGAGAATTGAGATGAATTAAGAGTATCCCACTACAGCATACTCCCCCATCTCTACCTTTTGTGCTAGTAAGTGAGGTCTTGATGACCAAGTAAAAAGGCTCTGTCTGGTCCGTAGGCTTGAGCGATTATGAAAGAACATCTTGAAGATGTAAGAAACAGGGATTTCTTCCCCACTCCTCATCCCTCTGTTCTTTAGATGACCTATATTCATCTTTCCAGCCTTTCCTGTCTACCAAGCCAACAAGAGGGTAGGGGGCAGTCACGTTCAGGTTGTTCATTCTGCCTAGAACCAATCTGTGGGCCATCCTGTGCTGGAGGGATCGATTGCAGAGCTTACCCCTAGAGCCAATGCACAGGGGCAGAGCAGGGCCTTTCGGAGGGGCAGCCACCCTGCCCTCCACCTTCTGCAAAATCTGTCAAATGGAGATGGAAAAACAGACACCACTTCCCCAACTCAACCCCACCAGCTGTGTAATGAAGCTGGGGGTGGAATTGGCAGTATTAGGGGCTGGCTGGCACCTTACCAAGGGAATGTTGGCTTCTGAGTCCCCTCCCCAGCCAAATCCCAGAGGTCAGTGCTTAGAGCAGTGGGAGCGTTCAGAATTTGGACTACTAACCCAGCACCAGAGACCTTACCCACAACTGACGGTTGCCCTCTAAGAGTTGTAAGAAGTGTAGAAATATTCCTTCAGTTCAAAGTTTTCCAGATTCTCTTGGTTAAGAAGCAGGAGAGGGCCTTCACTCCCTAACATCCAGAGCTGGAAGGACCATGCGTTTGGATAGTAGTGGTGTCAGGGGAAATGACCTCAAACAGATGAGTACAGCCTTAGTAGAAATGACTCCAAAGAGGAATGTAGAATGGCCAGGTCACCAGGCTTGTGAAGAGTGAGGGAAGGTACAGGAGAGGTAGACAGTGTCCTGGCAAAGTTCTCTGAAGACGAGGGTATTCCACAGAGCCCTAACATTTTCTGATCTGGGATGCTTGCATTGTGCACGTGAGGAAACTGAGGACTTTTGGAGTCCTTTATATTAGATCTCATTCTCCCAGACCCCTCACAGTGATCCACATTATTGACAACCTTCTCCTCAAAATCTTCCTTGGCCTCCTGGTTATTGTAGGCCTGCCTCTTATCTTGCCTCTCCAGCTACTCCAGTCTCCTGCGGCCCCTGAGCATGGCCCTTCTCCCAGGTTCTGCCCTTGGGGCTAGGCTCTTGCTCTTTATCTCCTCAAGCACTCATGCAGCTTCAACTCCAAGAGTGACATCCTGGCCAGTCCTAGGCCCCCATCTCTCCTGTGAGGACAGAGGTCCTAAGACATCCCACGGGCACCTCAAACAGCATTTCCAAACTTCAGTTCTCCATTTTCCTTCCTCTGATGGCTTTTATTATGTACGGCCTATTTTTGACATCTTATATTCCCCTCCTTCAAGTTCAGTGATTTTCAGTGCCTGAAAATTCCCTATCCTTCAATCTCAAATTGAAGGCTTTCCAGGCCATATTCATTAATTCACACATTCAAATACTTTCTGAGCATATTAATATTCTCTGTGCCAGAGTTGGCTCCAAGTGCTAGAGGTTCCATGGTGAAAAAGACAAACCTGGATCCTGCCTCTTAGGGGCTTATAACTGAATGGAGGAGACAGAAATTAACATAAGTAGGGCGCCTGGGTGGCTCAGTTGGTTAAGCGACTGCCTTCGGCTCAGGTCATGATCCTGGAGTCCCAGGATCGAGTCCCGCATCGGGCTCCCTGCTCAGCGGGGTGTCTGCTTCTCCCTCTGACCCTCTTCCCTCTCATGCTATCTCTCATCCTCTCTCTCTCGAATAAATAAATAAAATCTTTAAAAAAAAAAAAAAAAAAAAAAGAAATTAACATAAGTAATTGCAGAAAAATAGCTATATAATTTCTACTAAAAAACAGTACAGGGCTGTGACAGTGCATGATGGCGGGGGCGGGGGATAGCGGGCAGGGGGTGTGGAGCAGGAGGGAGGTGGTGTAACTAAACTGATCTGGAGGCCAGAGGAGGCCTGAACACGGGGAAGAGGTGTGAAGTATAGCAGGAACGAGCTCAACTCCTCTTTCAGAATTTCAGGCCTGTAGTAGGCTGAGTAATGGCTCATCAAAGACGTCCACGTCCTTACCCTGTAACGCATGAATATGTTATGTTACATGGCAAAGGAGATTAAGGTTGTAGGTGGTATTAGGGTTGTTGGTCTCCCTTATAAAAGGGAGACTTTCCTGGATTATCTGGGTGGGATCAATATCCTTAAAGTGGAAGAGGGAGGAAATAAAAGAGTCAGAGAGAGATGTGATATCCTAAGCTGGGTCAAAGAGATGTTACGTTGCTGGCTTTGAGGATGGAGGAAGGGAGGCATAAACCAAGGAACGTGGGTAGTCTCTTGAAGCTGAAAAAGGCAAGAAAATGGATTCTCTTTTAGAACCTCTAGAAAGGAACCCAGCCCTGCTGACACCTTGATTTTAGCCCAGTGTGACTCCTGTTGGACTTCTGAAATCCAGAACAGTGAGAGAATAAATTTGTGTTATTTGGTAATTTGTTATGGCAGTTGTAGAAAATTATAATTATAGGCCTGAGCCCTGATATTTCCATTCCTAAATCCACTTCATTTATTTCCACCTCTGCTTGAACTCTATCTTTCCCTCATCTCTGCTCTCTGGATCTATCTTCTGGACCCTGCATTTTTGAGGACTCTAAGGGCACAGAGCTGTTCCGATCAATTATAGGAGCAGGCAAAGGCAGAAGAGCAAAAAGCAGGCCGGTGAGTACAAGGGCCCATGGAGAGCTCTAGCTCTGGACTCAGGCCTGCTGGAACCATTTACTTCCTGTGGGCATCTGAGGGAGGGGGCAAGGCGTTGGCTTGTTTCTTCAGCTCTAACGTGAAGACAATAGGTCCCATCTCAAAGGCATAAAAGGCAATAACTGTACCAGGCATTTATCATAGGAGATGATCTTTAGTGCTTATGTGCCATGAGGAGACCAGGTCCAGGGAATTATAGAAAAGTCACTGGAGGGTAATCAAGGGCAACGCCAAGCACCCAAGGCCAGGTGCCAGGGAAGGTGCTTCTTCCCCTTCCTGCCCCCTCCCCTTTCCTGCCTGGGTGGTGGCTCAGGGAGAAAGCCCCAGGGGAGAGGGAGATGGCTTGGCCAGCTGTGCTCAGATACACCCCCGCCCCAGGTCACAGAGGTCGGGCAGCTCCACCTTCTCCCTCCTTCGCCATCCCCTCCGCCTAGGGCTGCCCTTTGATGGCCAGTCAGGCTGGTTTCGCCGGGAGCGGGGCGCACGTGGCGCGACGCCCGCTGCCTCCTGACGACAGGGCAGCGGGGGCTGTGCGGGGAGCTGGCAGGCGGCTCAGCCGCGGCGGGGGTTCTCACTTCCCCTCCCCAACGGCCGCGTGTGCAGGTGCCGCGGGCCGTGCCCCGCAGGCGGGGCGGGTCCTGTGGACACGCCCCCGCGGCCCGTCCTCGCAGCCGGTCCGGAGGAAGCGCCAGAGCCGCGGCTGGTGCTGCGCGGAGCCCGGCGCCGCTACCGCCCCGCGCCCCGGGAGGCCGCCGGGCTCGGCCCCGCGCACGCAGCGAGCGGGCAGGTGAGCTGCGCCCCGCGCCATGGCAGCCTCAGGTGCGTAGGCGGGCCCGGGCCCCTCTCCCCAGCCTCCCCGCTGGCGCGCCCTGTCGCCCCACCGCAGCCGTCCGAGCGCTCGCCCGCTCCCGGCTCTGCGTCTTTCGCGCGGGATCTGTGCGCTTTCTGCTTTTTCCCGCTTTCCCGCTTCCCCGGCGCAAACCTCCCGCCCCAGCTTTCCCACGCCCCCCTTCCCAGCTTGTCACGCGATTCTCTTCTGCCCCCGCCTGTCCCTCGTCTTCTAAGTCTCCTTTCCTCTCTCCGACTGGCTCTAGTTGCTTCTGAGGGTCCTTTCCCCCGTTCTTCCAACTCTGTGAACCGGGGTCCCGTGGAAACAAGGCAGAGCGCCGACTTGTCGGCTTCTGGGAAGTGCCTCTCTTAGGGCCCCATTGGACCAATAGGGGGCGCTCAGGCAGTCCCGGGTGGGCGCCGGGTGATCGCGGGCGGCCCTTGGGCCACCTTCCCAAGCCCCCTTCCTCTACCCATCCTAGGTTTTGTTTTTCATCTAGAATTTAGATAGAAATCTAGGAACACCATTACGTTAGCTTTAGTTTTCTTACGTCTTTTGCAGAACTTTGGGGAATGGGGAAAAGTGAAGGCCACTGGGTAATCTACCCATCGAAAGGTACCAGGAGTCCTGGGTTCTTGATTTGTCTTGGGTTCTTCTCTGGTTCATGGGTGTGTACACTTGCCAAAGTTACTCACTCTCTGAGATCCAGGACAGACCACTTAATGATGGTAATAGAGGCAATTAAGGAGCACTTACTATGCAGTATGATAGTTAATTGTGCACATACATGTGTCCTCAGTGGTGACCGGGACAACCTGGTCTCTGCTCTCAGGGAGTTTACAGTCTTGTGCAAGAAAGCAGTAAGTAGGAGCGCCTGGGTGGCTCAGTCGTTAAGTGTCTGCCTTCGGCTCAGGTCATGATCCCGGGGTCCTGGGATCTAGCCCCGCATCGGGCTCCCTGCTCAGCGGGAAGCCTGCTTCTCCCTCTCCCACTCCCCATGCTTGTGTTCCCTCTCTCGCTGTGTCTCTCTCTGTCAAATAAATAAAATCTTAAAAAAAAAAAAAAGAAAAAAGAAAGCGGTAAGTAAACAGGGAGTTGCTAGGTGAGATTAGAGTTACTGTATTTGCAAGTGGGTTTACTTGTATTTTCCTCACCCATTTTATGATGTTTTAGTAGAGATAACATGTATAAACAGGATGTAAACGTCTCTTGAAAACTAAAATCTGGTCAGCCAGTAGAAGATACTGTTCTTGAAGGATGTGGGCAGATGCTAGAATGAAGAGCCAGCTGTCCCCATATCCCCTGAGGTCTAGCCTCCTAATGGTGCCTTGGAAGCTGGGTCGGTGTGTGGGGGTTGGGGGTGGTTGGGGGTGAGGGGTGCGGGGTGGGGGGTGGAGAAGGTCAATGGTAAGAGTTCTGTTAGATTTGGTAATACAGGCTCATTCTTTAAAAGGAATGGGAAAGTAGCTAGTTTTAGCCTTGTGGCTCTCAAGTGGGGCTCTGGAGGTTAGAAGAAGCTGTATTGTGGTAGGAGTAGGCTTATAGTCCACACGTTCCGTTCAAAAGCTGAAGCAGAGTTATGTAGAGGAAATTCATTCATTCAGCGAATATTTATTGCATGCCTACTGTTTCTGGGCACTGTTCTAGGTGTCAGGTGTATATTCAGCAATCAAAACAGACATAAGCTACTTACCCATGGAGTTTATGGAATATGGGGGAGGGCAGGCAATATGCTTGATAAAGAAATTCATGATATGATAAGTACATTAGGAAAGCAGTAGAAGGGGTAGAGGGGGTTGGGTTTACAATTTTATTTTTTAAAGATTTTATTTGTTTATTTTTACGAGAGAGAGCACAAGCAGGAGTCGAGGGGAGGGGCAGAGGGAGAAGCAGACTCCCCGCTGAGCAGGGAGCCCGATGCGGGACTCGATCCCAGGACCCTGATGACCTGAGCCGAAGGCAGACGCTTAACCGACTGAGCCACCCGGGCGCCCTGGGTTTATAATTTTAAAGGAGGTGGCCAGATTAGGCCTCCTGGAGAAAGGGACATTTGAGTGAAGATCAGAAAGGTCATGTGGGGGGAGCAGTGCTCCATTCAGAGGAACAGTAAATGGGTGTATATGGTATATTTAAGGATCAGGGAGAGGTGGTGGAGTAGGTGGGTGATTGGGGGGAAGTAGGAGATGAGGTTGGTGAAGCTCCCACCTCTTTCCATGGCTGAGAACAGGCCCGGGCTGTTAAGTGCAAGAAACAGCAAACGGGGAGAGCCTTTGGACAGAGGAGACAGAGAAAACCACCCTCGTCTAGTGTCCTGTGTGTATGACTCCAGTAGGGCCTGGCGGAAGGGGCTAGAAGAGTGTGCTCCCATTCAGATGGGGCCTCGAGCGCAGTGGCCAAACCTGGGGCTATTTATGGGCTCTGTAGTGGCTTCTGCCAATGTCTATAATGGTTAGGGCTGTCACACCCTCCTGCTGTTAGCATGCGCTGTGGCGAGACACCGCTTTAGGTCCTGCAAGCGGGAGCTGGGCCTCCGAGGTCCCCGAGGCTCTCTTGAGGTCTGGAGGTGCAAGGACCCATGGTGGCAAAAAAAAGAAAAAGGACCCGTGGTGGCCGTGAGCATACCTCTTGGTAAGATACGAGAGGGTGTGGAGTCACCTAGGCCATCCTTCCATGTGACCTTCTGCTTCTCCACTTCTTCCTCCCTCTTTTCCTCCCTTCCCCCTCCTCCTCCTTTTTCTTATTTTAAACAGTTTTATTCAGATATAATTCACATACCATACACTTTGCCCACTTAAAGTATACGGTTAAGAACAAAAACAAAGTATACATTCATTGTTTTTTTAGTATCTTCACAGATAGGTGCAGACCCCACCATGGTCCATTGTAGAACATTTTCATTACCTCAAAAAGAAACTCATTTTGAGAAATGAGTGAAGGGGGTATACATTTATGAAATAGAAATTTCTTTTAAAAAGAAGAAGAAGAAACCGTATGCTTTGGCTATCACCCTCTTATTAGGACTCCTGCCCGGTCCTAAGTTTTACGTCTGTGTCTGTAGATTTCCCTACTCAGGACTTCCATATGAATGGGATCATATAGTATGTGGTCTTGGGTGTTTTCTTTCACATAACATAGTGTTTTCAAGGTTTACCTAAGTTGTAGTATATGTCAGCACTTCATTCCTTTTTAAGGCTGAATTATGTGGTCTTTTAAAATTTCCTTCTGCTGAAGGATAAGCATTCAGATTTTATTTTTTTGAAAGACATCTTTGCTTATTGAAATCAAGGAGAATCTTGGTTCCCTGTTTTTGGGAAAGAGCGTGGGGAGCAAGATAAAATGAAATGGAATTAGCCTATCCTGGAATATTCTCTAGGTTCCTGATGGTATCTCTTGCATTTACACATGAGAGGGAGGAGACAAAGAAACCATAAGTGACTTCCCCAAGTGATTTCGTCTAGGGCTGGGTGAACCACCGCAATCCTTTCCTCCATGTGTCAGCCTTCAGATCTTTGAAGAAAGCTTGCATACCTTTTCTTGCCCTTTTTCTCCAAGGTTTCTCTTATCTCCAGATTTTCTACCATCCCTAGACTTAGAGGATAATAGGGTTTGAAGGTACCTTTAATGTTTTGGGATCTGAACTCCCATCTGATTCTTGAGGTCCCTCAATACTCCTGTCAAGTTTCTAAACTTGAGACCTTCAGAGTCTGGAAGTCCTGATGTGAGTCATTCCTAGACCCCTCCCTATCCTAGTCACCTTCCCCTAGTTCACCTCCCTCTTCAGTAGGGTGCTCAGGGCAGATGGATGGGGAACCAGAGTCACCTGCAGACTAAAGAAATGGTCTGGGCTGGGGGTGGTTTGAAAAGCTGCCTGCCACTTCCTCCCTATTCTTTTCTCAGATGGATTCTGAATCTTTTTAAGGAAGCTCTTTTTCAGTCACTGTCTTTCTTAACCACCACTATCACTCCCTGTTGCCACCAGCGCCCCCCCGCCCCCCCCCACCGTTACCCATTGCTTTCTCCTATAGCCCAGTCTGTTCTTTAAGCTCTACAAGGACAAAGGCCCATTCTCATTTCTGTTTAGGATTTATGGATGCCTGTTGGTTCATGGATTTCATTTTTCTTTTTCTTTTTCTTTTTTAAAAGATTCATTTATTTATTTGAGAGAGAGAACGAGAGAGAGCATGAGCAGGGCATAGGGGCAGAGGGAGAGGGAGAAGCAGATTCTCCGCTGAGCAGGGAGCCAGCCTTGGGGCTCGATCTCAGGACCCTGGGATCATGACCTGAGCGGAAGGCAGTTGCTTAACGGACTGAGCCACCCAGGTGCCTGCATGGATTTCATTTTTCTTTTTCTTTTTTTTTTTTAAACATTTTAAAAATTTAAATTCAATTAATTAACATATAATGTATTATTGGTTTCAGAGGTACAGGTCTGTGATTCATCAGTCTTGTATAATACCCGGTGCTCATTACATCACGTGTCCTCCTTAACGCCCATCACCCACATACCCCCTGCGCCACCCGCCTCCCCTCCAGCAACCCTCAGTTTGTTTCCTATAGTTAAGTTCGTCTGTCTCTCTGGTTTTGTCTTGTTTTATTTTTTCCCTCTCTTCCCCTATGATCCTCTGTTTTGTTTCTTAAATTCCAGATATCAGTGAGATCATGGATTTCGTTTTTCTTAATAAACAAACTGGGAGAATTGATTTGGCACATGTGAGGAAATGACCTACAGTTACAGGCAGGGATTTATCGTTAACAAAAGGGATGTCCCCACACGAGAGGGTTGCTGACAAAGTGTTTGGTCCTGTGTTGTTATTCAGCATATCATGGAGGAACTTTAACTTCCACTCTGGAACTTTTTTTAGAATTTCCCCAGCTTTCAGTTTCAGCAGTGGAGCAAAATTCCAGAAGGTGATAGATTTCATTCTCCTCATTTTACACTGAGGCCAAATTTGCCTAGACTTAGTGTACTGGTCTCAAGTCACACCACCAGTGGGTGACCAAGTAGGTTGTCATATTAATGAGTCTTGAGGCACTGACCACTTCGTTTTCAAGTACTTTTGCTCAAAGGAGTTGGGGGACGGGTGTCAAATTTAACACCAGAACCCCAGGAATGAGACGTTTTCAATGTTTTCCATACAGAAGAGGCTAACCCTCTAAGTGTTTTTTAAATTTAAATTGTATTTTATTAAAGTTTTTATTTTAGAAGGTTTAGATTTATTAAAAAACTGAAGATATTAGAGTTCTCATATATTCCACACCCAGTTTCCCTCATTATTAATAATTTGCACTCTCTTTGGTGACTAGAGGTCTTTAATGCCCAGCGGATATTGCGTGGTGCTGTTACCAGAGGAACGGGTCGTGTTGAGGCAGGATCCAGGGTGAAATGAATACTTACTTCCTCAGTGACCCCGGAACTTGTCATTTAAAATTGTTGGTTTGCTTTGCTTTGGGTCACTTTCTCCTCATAAAAGTGGCGTACATCTCTCATGGCCACATGTCAGGGCATTCTAAAGTTGCTGCTTTCCTGCTGAGTCTGTCATTGTTCCAGGATCTGAGTTGCTTTCTTAAGAGTACTTATTATGCTCTCGGAAATACTCTTCTCTCTTCCTTATTTCTTTACCATCTATTGAAAACGTCCCCAGTGGCTTCATCACTAATGTGTGGGACCACAACCAGCCTTCTCTGAGATCTTATTCTCCTTCTAGCCCATTTGTAAAAATTGTTGACATGATATTTGCTAGTATATTTGTCAGTATAGGTAGGGAGTGTTGGTGGCTCTTGCTTTTTATTTTTGCACTTTTAACTGAATTCTGAGCGCAGATTGCTAACATTACACCCTTATTATTATAATGCACTGTAAAGTCTTGTACCTTGCCTACCTGGTGGACCAAGCTCATGCGCACTCATGTGCATTAACACTTTACATTTAGAAGAACATTCACCTCTGAGGATAAACCAACCAAGTAGAAAAGAGGGGCAGAAAGAAGGTAAACATATTCTGATGCCTTAACTCTACTTTTCTCAGTATGAGCTCCATAGTTGTGTTGCTTGGCCAATCTTATTCCTTCCATCGTCCTGAAATTACTTCTCCATTGAAGTACAAAGAACTGTTACGCGGCGGGGCGGGGTTGGAGGGGGAAGATCAGCAAAGATTTTATTTTAAGGAAGGCTGCAACACTGTCTTCCATACGTTAAAATTTTGCCTTTAATCTGCTTAAACTTTGGGGACAGTGTAAGCAGCCTAAAATGGACTGTTTTATTCACAGTTGAGGAACGAGACCATGCTCAGAACTGAGTTTTCTGCAGAGCCACAAAGGTCCGTGGTGTCGTCAGAATTGCTGACTGCCTCCCCTCTACCGCATGTTACCTTCTCAAGCGGATTTCTTTTAAAATTTGCACACCTCCCCTTCTAAAGTACTCCCTGGCTGATCAATGTGCTCCTACTGAGTGCCTGTTGTGTTTTATGTTAGCCCTGGATTAGGGCTCCAGCAAAACAGAGACTCCAAAAAGAAACTCCAAACTTTATTTGCTATTTTTAAAAATTTGGTAATATTATCCCTGGGGAAATCAGAACTGTGTTGGGTTTACATATTATATGTCATTGTTTTTACTTTGAATATGGTGGAAGATGGGATAGGAAGGGGGAGTCCTTCCATGATGTTTTCAGAGTTTACAGCCTCAGGTCTTGACCCCCAGTCCTGCCTCCAACCTTTTTGCCAGGAACTAGTCAGTGAAATGTGGTCCAGGGGTGGTGTTTAATTGTGACAATCCACAACTTTCATGATTACCAAACTTCACCAGACTTGAGCAGCTTCCTTCTCTGAGTGGGAGGAAGGATCCCTATTGTATTATGATGCGTGGAGACTCCTCTGCGCTCACTCCTTCCAAGGCACGAAGGACAGTTTGTTGAGCTGGTAGGAGATGAAGCCTCCTCTAACAGTAGTAACAGGTGTGTTAAGAGCCAAGCTTCTTTGAACTTTGATAATTGGAAGATATGCTTTATTACTTGTAAGATTCTTGACTGAATCCCTGATGAGAGGCAGCAGGTGGACTGGTGGGGGGACTGGACAGGGGACCAGGGGACAAGCCTGTGGTTCAGTCCTAGCTTAGTGACTAGTTTGCTGAGTGTGAATTTGAGTCCCTTCATCTTCCCAGATGAAATGTTTCTTTTATCTGTAAATGAGGAGTTTGGGCCAAGTGATCCCCCAAAGCTCTTTTTAACTCAGTGCTTCTCTGAGGCTTTGGACTCTGTTTCTGGCACTTACGCTTTATGAGAGGAAGAAGAAAGCCTATGTCCCAGCACAGGTGAGGTGAGGGACACCCTGCCAATGGTATTATGGAGATCAAAGTATTAAGTCACCCACAGCTGCTGCTAACGTTCATGCTTTGTTTCTCTTACTGTGTAGATGAGGACACCGGCTCCAATTATTGAGAGCTTACCACATGCCAAGCGCTGTGCTCAGCAATTTATATGAAATATCTAATTTTTTTAACAGTTCTTTTTCTAAAGATTTTATTTATTCATTCATGAGAGACAGAGTGGGGGAGAGAGAGAGAGAGAGAGAAAGAGAGAAGCAGAGGGAGAAGCAGGCTCTCAAGGAGCAGGGAGCCCGATGTGGGACTTGATCCCAGGACCCTGGGATCATGACCTGAGCCGAAGGCAGACGCTTAACCATCTGAGCCACCCAGGCGCCCCTGAAATATCTAATTTAATGCTCACAAAACACTGATAAATATTGCCATTATATTTCCATTTCCCGATGAGTAAACTGAGGTTTAGAATATTTAAGTGACTTACCTAGGGTTACACAGCTAATAATTCACAGAGCCAGGATGCTAAATCTGGCCGCCTTGATTCCGTACCTGTGCTTATAATCCCTGTATTTGGGAAAGAGCCAGGTTCTGGGGCCAAACTGTCTGAGTTCAAATTCTGACTGTCACCACGGGTAAATTATGTACCTGCCACACCTCCGTCTTCTCGTCTTTCAAACGGGGCTAATAGTATTCTCTACCTTATAAGGTTGCTGTGACGATTAAATGGGCTTACTAGGCAGTGCGCCTGGAAGAGCATCTGGAACATAGGAAGCTCTGTATAAGGTGCTTGCTGTTGCTGTCATCATCACCATCTTACGCGGCATCAGCTGTGGGTGGAAGAGCATGCCAGCAGAAGTGACAGCTTATGTAAAGTTCTGAAATGTCATGGCATCTTGGGGCAGAGACAGGGAGACAGGTATGGCTGGAACACAGCCTGGAAGCAGGGGAAGGGTTTGACAGCTCTGTCAAGAAGGGGGGGTGGTGCCAGGACCCCCATCTGGTTGGTTTGTGGTGCAGGTCATGTGAGCCCCAGAAAGAGCAGGTGTGTTTTTTTTTTTTTAAAGATTTTTTATTTATTTATTTGAGAGAGAGAGAGCACGCATGAGAAGGGGGAGGGTCAGAGGGAGAAGCAGACTCCCTGCTGAGCAGGGAGCCTGATGCGGTACTCGATCCTGGGACTCCAGGATCATGACCTGAGCCGAAGGCAGTCGCTTAACCAACTGAGCCACCCAGGCGCCAGAAAGAGCAGGTGTGTTAACATGCTTCTTCTCTGCCTCGTTCTTGCTCAGGGCCGGTTGGAAGATGTGACATCCTCATCGTCTACAGCCCGGATGCCGAGGAGTGGTGCCAGTACCTCCAGGAACTCTTTCTGTCCAGTCGGCAGGTGCGGAGCCAGAAGACGCTGACTTACAGGCTGAGGCCTGATGTCTCCTTCTCGGCCAAGGACCTGAACTTCTTCCTGAGCTCCCGCTGCGTTGTCGTGCTGCTGTCCGCCGAGCTGGTGCAGTGCTTCTGCCAGCCGGCCCTGCTGCCCCTGCTGCAGAGAGCCTTCCACCCTCCCCACCGTGTGGTGCGGTTGCTCTGCGGGGTGCAGGATGGCCCGGAGTTCCTGGACTACTTTCCGGACTGGGCGCATTGGCAGGAGCTCACCTGTGACGACGAGCCCGAGACCTACGTGGCAGCGGTGAAGAAGGCCATTTCCGAAGGTAAGGGTGTCTTCTCAAGGAAAGATAAGCAAGCCCAAAAAAAAAAAAAAAAAAAAAGACTCATCCAGGCCGCAAGCGTTTCAGGTGAGGCAGCTTTCCTGCCTGTGAGCTGCTTCTGTTTTATCATCAGGGCCCTTAAGATTTTTGTGGAAAAATGTGTCACTTTGGACAACATGTTTATAGAGAAATACCCTTCTTCTCTATTTCCCACTAGCCGAGCTTCTGTCTTTTGCCCTGTTTCTCCTTTTAAAGTGGGAAGATTCTGGTCCCCTCTGCCAGGGCTCCTGACTTCAGTGGCCCCAGGAAGTGTGACATACACTCTGATGAACAGTAGCGGAAGATGCGTTCTGGGATGGAGGCATGTCACAGCTCTTCTTCCTCTTTTGCTTTCTATTTTTGCCTCACTGTGGGCTATGAGTGGGCTCTGCGTTTATCACTGTTCTCTTACCATTTGAGATCTTACATACCTGATGCCAGCCAAGAAACCTGGACAGTTATGGGTTGATTTAATGGTGCTCAATTATCCCTGCTGGGACTCGGGCCTTAATGCGGCTCATCCACCCCATCTCATCGGATGAACTGAATCAAGAATTCACTAATTCCCACTGAACTTAAAAAGCTGATATAGCTTCCTCGATTCTTTTATCCAGCAATAGGCTGCTCTAAACCAATAAATGTGACCAGATTTCTTATAACATAGTGGGATCCTGGCTAATTTGTGATATAAATGACTAGTGTTAATATAAAAGATGTGTCACCTGGATAAGGGATTCTTCTAGGGTTTGCTTTTCTTTACTTCAGAACACAATGATGGAAAAAGCACATAATCTGATCCTGCATGATTGCTCCTCATTGCTTTGAGGGAGTTTTGATCTGCCTAAACTTACAAAGAACTGAAACACGAGTAGTTATTTCTGTGGATGGGCTTATGTCCCTGCTGTGGTCCATTATGATCTCATGGGCAGGCCCCTGTGACCCACCAGCCTGTCATTCAGGGCTCCATGGATATATTGTCACAGTGCTGGCATCTTATGCTGCATGATCTGACAGATTGTTCTTTAAAATATTCCAGTGGTGTTATTTTTTTAAAAATTTTTTTAATTAACATATAATGTATTATTTGTTTCAGGGGTACAGGTCTGTGATTCCAGTGGTGTTATTAAAAAAAAAATATATGATAGAAGGGATTCTTTTAGTATTGTTTCAATGAGCCCAGTGTTTAGATGCCTGGGTAAATCAATCAATAATCATTTACTTTTTACTAAGGACTCTGGCTCCATATGCTATGAGCCTTTAGCTTCAAGGGTTTCCAAAAGAATGAAGTGTTTCATGGTGGTGTTTCTGTTCTGAGAACAAATAACCTGTCATCAGAAAGAGATTATTTTAATGGGAGATTAAAATAAGCTTCTTAGTGGAAACTCTGCAGTTCAGAATCAATGGATAGGTAGGGACAAATGGAGTTCTAGGAAAGAGAAGGAAGAAGGATGGCTTATGGCGCCAATATAACTTTCTTATCTGGTGTTAGACTTGTGGACTTTGGGACTTGAGGGGTCTGTGTGAGCCGGGATGGCTTAGGTTTGCTTTTCAGATACCCATAGCCATTGGCCTTGGTCGGCGCAGTAATGTGGTGCTGTATCTCCGGTTTGTATGCTGGGCAAGCTTCCTTAACAAACTCCAGACTCAGAGTCTGGCAGTATGCCAAACAGAGCATTGACCAGGCGTAGGGACACTCCATGGCGCTAACTAAGTGCCCGGTATTGGGCAAGTCACTTATCCTCTTTGGGTTTCCATTTCCTTCTCTGTAAAAGGCCAGAATAAGACTTGATCTAAGACACTTTCCAGGGTTGATAACCTATGATTCCCCAAGGCCAGAGAGTCTCAGACATTTCTGAAGCATCACCTTCTTTTCACCATTTCATACCTGCTTTGACTCCCAGGAAGCTTAGGGTTAAAACAACGTTTAAGAACAGTACCATCCCAAACTAGGTTTTTGATATGATTATACCTTTAGTTATATTCTCTATAACTTGTGATAATTTATCTTAATACTTCTCTTGTACACATGAGGTTTTCCTAAGGTGCCTCAAATAAAAGCAAAAAATAAAATTTTCATACACCCCACTACTACAGCATGCCCTACTCTCATTGAAATAAATGCATAAATACATGAGACTTGTATCTTTGACTTTCTGTGTTAAGAAAGAGAATCCCAGTGGGAAATGTAATGGAAAATTGATAACAGGGTTGAATTAATGGTAGGGACAGTAATTATGGGGTTACTGATTGTAGGGTTGTTGAAAGTTATAGGGAGACAAATTTCAGGAAACCTTTCTAACAGAGCATGCAAAGATGGAACGGATTCCCTTTGGAGGTGGTGAGTCACAACCCTGGAAATATGTGAGTGGAGACTGTTGATGTGGCCTAAAGGGATTCAGCTTTGGAGCCGTGGCTGGACCATGTGACCTTCACAGCCTCTTGACCATAAAATTCCCTTATGTTAAATTCCTCTTTTCTACCAGGAACACATTTCTTCTTCTTTTTAAGATTTTATTTATTTACTTGGTTTGGGGGGGGGGGTGGCACAGAGAGAGAAGGGGAGAGAGAATCCCAAGCAGACTCTGCACTGAGCGCAGAGCCTGACACAGGGCTCGATCCCACGACCCCGAGATCATGACCTGAGCTGAAATCAAGAGTCAAACACTTAACAGACTAAGCCACCCAGCCAGGCGCCCCAGGAACACATTTCTATTGTGACTCTAGTCTTCCTCCTTCACCAGGTCTCCCTGGGGTTTCTAACTTTCCCCTGAAGAAATATTGGCCATATTCCTACTGTGACCTCAGCAGAAAGTAGCAGGAAAAAAAGACCTCAAGTTGTAATCTATGTAATCCTTAAAAATGGTAAAGTTCCCAACATATTTGTATATATGTATTTTCTCTTAACATTGAGGTACCTTTTGGAAAAACGTGACTACTCGATAAGATATTCACTGAGACCATTTGAAATTTAGGCTAAATTTTAGAACATTTAAAACTTAAAATAAGGCTTAAAGATCAAAAGCTTTAGAGAGCAGAGCTGGTAATAAGGTAATTATTCCAGAAACTTAAAGTAAATGGGGTTATAGGTAGTCAATTATACTTCTTTTGCTGCTACATTTTCTAAATAAGTGATTCTCAAACTTTCCTGTGTTCAAGGAGGACATGGGGCTCTTGTCAGTATGCACATTCTCACTCCGTAGATCTGGGTGGGGCCCAAGATTCAGCATTTCTTTTTTTTTTTATTTTATTTATTTATTTGAGAGAGGGAGAGAGTGTGAGAGAGAAATCATGAGCTGGGAGAGGGGCAGAGGGAGAAGCAGACTTCCCGCTGAGCAGGGAACCCAGTGCGGGACTCGATCCCAGGACCCTGGCATCATGACCTGAGCTGAAGACAGACGCTGAACTGACTGAGCCACCCAGGCGCCCGAGATTCCACATTTCTAACAAGTTCCTGGGTGATGCTGATGCTGCTGGTCAAGGGTCCATTGAGTATGTGAGCAAGGGTCTCAGCCCCCCTTCCTTTGCCAGGTCAGTGGTCATGTCCCCCTGTAGCGCATGGACCGTTTTCTCCAATCTCCATTTTCCTAGAAGTAGAGGCACCATCATATCAGGTGACTCCTGGATACCTGTCAGTTTAGGTATAAAATTAGGCCAGTGTTTGGTGCTTCGGCCAACAGACTTCAGGGCTGGGTTCCTGAGTTCTCTTCCCTGCCCCTACTCACGGATTCGTTGTGTAAGCTCTGGCAACTTTTAATCTCAGTTTTCCAGAAGTAAATGGTTCTGACATTAGAGTAGGGTTATACTTCCATCACAATCCTTACTGCTTCTTCATTTGATAATGAATTACTCTTCCACTAAAAAGTGTTTTGGAGGTTTTATTTTATTTCCCACTCCCTCTCCAAATTTGTCAGCTACCTTAAAATTGAGCAGATGTTTTAATTAGAGTCTTTAGTGTGTTGGAGCAGGCAGCTTGCTTCCCAAGATCTTCATCTGTAAAATGATGGGGCTGGACCACATGATTTGGAAGTTTTCTTCCAACCCCCAGCACTGTAATATATCATTATAAGTTTTCCAAGAAGATGGAAGAACACTTGAATTGACTCTGTTTAGTTCCCAGATGTCTACAGTGATAAATACCCAGTGCATAGAACACTGTACTATTGTTCTGGATTTTTTTTTTAATTTGTTGGGTGATTATTTTAAAATAAGGAAGTGAGAAAAACCCAGGTACAACATAGAAATTATTTCCTCTTTTTACTGGAGCTGTATTCTTTGCTGCAAATCTCCCTGGAATACAAAAATAGATTGTTAGTGTGTGTGGGAAAGGACTTGTTAGGTGATGCTGAGTTTTATTTCCAAAGTTCTCATCATTTTGTGTGTGTGTGTGTGTGTGTGTGTGTAGGGGGAAGGGAAGCATTAAACCCAATTCTTCTACTATTACTCATATTACACTGGAGAGCTCACCTGCTTTTTTTTTTTAAGATTTTTTATTTATTTATTTGACAGAGACACAGTGAGAGAGGGACCACAAGCAGGGGGAGTGGGAGAGGGAGAAGCAGGCTTCCCGCAGAGCAGGGAGCCCGATGAGGGGCTCGAACCCAGGACCCTGGGATTATGACCTGAGCTGAAGGCAGACGCCCAACCGACTGAGCCACCCAGGCGCCCCTCACCTGCTTCTTGATATGCATTGTTTTCCCTTTGCCTCCCCTTATCCTTCCCCATGGTCCTTGTACTTCAGAAGTTCCGATGGTACCCAAAATTATAGTGTATTTTGCCTTTTGTTCCCTTGGGGAACATTTAGAGGTATATGCCCATGTCTGGCCTGCCTTTGTTGATGTGAACGTTCTAATCTGAATATTATACTGGAATTTAGAAGAAAGAGAGTTAGATATTTAAAAATGCTTTCAGCTCATCAGATGGCTTCCAAAATCTTTTCCTAAATTTAAAAAGGAACATTTTTTTTT